TAAATGCTTTGCCATGATGAGAATCCAAATTTTGCAACCTATTCATCTCCATTTCCTTTTGGTACAGTATCAACAGGTGTACCGAGCCTTTAAATGCTACATAAGAGGAATATTTCTCAGTTGCACATGAATTTGTTTGTGCTACTAATGGGGATTAGAAGAATAACGTGACTGGAATCAGTGAAACCCAAAGAGGGATTTCACCGCCACAGAGGCGGGGAGAGGAAAGAAGAGCTTCTGTGTGACTTTTAATCAACCATCCTCTGCTGAAGTTAATGTGATGATCATTACTGATGTGATTGTGCAATTGTCAGATGGATGTGTTTATTGTTTGTGGCTGCGATGTTATACTGCAGACACTGTGATGTCCAAGGCAAATTTTCCACTTGGAAAATAAACTAATCTAATGTGCAGTGGGATAGATTGCAATAGCCTTGCAGTGTGTGGAGTTTTATACTGAACCTGGCCTGGTATAAATTCTCCATTTAAAAAGCTGCGGGGCTATTTTCAGCTGGCACAAACACATAAAGGCATCTGTAATAAAAGAGGTTAAAAAAAGAGACGGTGAAACTTGTGCTCAAATGCGACACATAATTTCAGTATTCAAATCTTATAATATAATCATAATAGGGTTATATTAAACTCAACCCTCTGCTGCTCCCGGTTTCTCTTTTTAACACATTGGAAGTTAAGTTATGTTAAAATGTATCATCTTTTAACTATACGCATGAAATATTGTGTTTTACTTTATTAACCCTTATATTTTGTGTCACTGCATGTCTATATGTCAGGTTGCGTTAAAATTTGTGTTTTTTATTTTTTGGTTGTGTGAATATTGGCGCTTTTATGTGCGTTTTTGTAACATAGCAACATTTTATCAAACAGAAACACTGTTTCACTTGCAAAACAATTCCATTTTTTTCTACTGCTGTTCTTTTCTCTGCCACCATCACAAAAAGGTTATGGTTTTATTTTTGTTTATTTCAAGTCACACCAAGGTTTTAAAAGACTGTTTTCTTTTAACTCTGTAAGAATTGACACACGTGATAGTCCTACAATCAAAAGTAGCTATGACTGCTTGATAGCATCACCAGTTTAAGATAGCTCTGCGATTTCTTTGTTGGCATCAGTGCAGTCTCTAAGGAGTGCTCTCTTAATCCAGGATTTAGTCAAGCCATGGGGTAACACCACTATATTGCAATCAGGAACAATGAGGATACAGCTACGATGTAATCAGGGAGTATGTTAAATATGTTAATGATAATTATAAGTGAGCCGTGTTCCAATGGAATCATACCAGCCGCAACGCCAGTCAATGACAACAGGCTGACGTTCTTACCCATGAGTAACAACACCCATTTTTAAACCCAGCCTTCATTTTAACTATACCTTCGCAACATTGTCACAGCCGGTGAGTCGTGATAGCAAATAAAAGGAGGTAAACACATGAGTGTATATTTAATACTGCGCTCGTCTGATGCCGCTTGTCAAACATGCCATGTGTTTGCTGTGTTAACACCCCTGCATTGGCCAGCTAGCGCACTAGTCACAGTTGGCACATTAGCTCTCAGTGGTGTGTTTGGTCTTGTTTGCTTAGGCCTGAAGCCATTTTATGATATTTAGGTGGATCAAAGTGATTGAGAGAGACGTTGGTGTTTGTCAGAAAGTGGGGTCAATATTTGTCTTAAGAAGAGAAAGAGCAGCAGAGTGCTGAGCACCGCTAGAATTGATTATGAGGAAATGAAATAATCAAGAGAACTGGTTTACAAGAGGCCTGATGAAATCTACTTTTTGTATTATCCAGTATATAAGAGATGTGGAGAAAAGTCAAAATACATTTTTCAAGTGATGGAGATGTTTTGGTGCCACACCAGAAATAAAATGGATCATCATCACTGTGTGATATAAACATATCATGTTATAATGTGATAACTTATTGTAACAATCAAAATTTGCAGGCTATAATGTAAAACGTGTCACGTTATAACGTGATCAGTCTTGTTAGTTTTCTGTTCTAACAATAAGTAGCAGGGCATTATTTTCAGCCCCCTGTGTGTTAATGTTGGTGTGTGGTTGTTGTATGAACGTGCACAGTGAAAGCTGAAGTTGATGCTAAATCAAGCCTGCCTGCGGATTTCTCCCAGTGCTGCTGCTGGTCAGTCTGACAGTGACAGACGCCCCTGCTCTGACCTTCTCTCCAGTGCAAATCTCACAAGAGCAGGAGCTTTCAACTTTCAGAAATAAACTGCACATTCTGCAAATTAATGAGTCAATTAATCACCTGCATATGCAATTTCTTTAGCTGCACATCAACAGCCCTCTGTCTCATAGGGGGGATGGGGGACAGCTGAGACAGGATAGCAGTATTGATAGTTTATCAGGGGAATTGTCGCTTACTGACGGCGCAGCTGCAGCGTGCTTCCATACACGGGGAATGCCATGTTTTACAAGTACTTCTCATGTGGGTCATATTTTTATTGGTCCACCATGGACATTTTCTAAATGATTTCTCCTGTTCCTTTAATTCCATTGATAGAACATAAATTCTACATCCCTTGTTAACACAAAAAAAAATTAAAAACAAATCTCACAGCCCAAAATAATGACTGGAACATGTTCATGTTTGCATAGATTAATGAGGCTTTCCGTATATTCTCTGTAAGATACCTATATCTATAACATATTAGACAATAATCATAAATGAAATGTGGATCATGTCACCGTACAATTTGTATAAACTTGGCAAAAATATGGCATCTCGGCAATGGGGGAAATTGTGTTTTCTGGGTTCAGACTATTTTGTATTTAATGTTTTATATACGTCTTTTAGACTAAACACAATCAGAACTAAGAGCAACGTGACATTTAGGACACTGCTTAACTTGTGTCTGTCAGTTTCTTTGGTGTATGTGAAAGGTTCTTGTCTGCAGTCATTTAATGGACCAATGCTGGTGTGTTCGTTTTGTTCTCCCTTAGTATCTGTGTCGTCTGCAGGTGTCACATTTCTATAACAACTTTTTAAGAAGCATGAGAAAAATACCTGAAGAACTATTCACCTGTTTTTTTGTTTTTGTTTTTTTTAATAAAGCCAAAGATTTAGTAGGGTATATTGATGCTAGTTAACTAGTAGATGTAAAAAGAGTAGTATTGTTTTAGGGCTTCACTCCATCCTTCTTTCTAAATACTAACAACATGAAATGCTTTGCAACAAAAGCAAATGTCGGTAAAGGCATATTATTGATAATGGCACATTTATGACAACTATATAACTTCTGGTTTAAGCATTTATTGTAGAGCAAAGAACATATGTATCCTGTAATAGATGTAGTCCTTAACTACATAATCGCCTGAATACTTTTTTTTCTGAACAGCAGAGACAATAATTATGATTTTTTTTTTTTAATTGCATCACCAATATTTCCAACAGTAGCTGCCTGACTAAGAGCAGCCGCTTGGTGACAAACTCATCATTCTTAGATAGAGATTGATTCCACTATCAACTCTACTGGGTCATACAGTCTATTAGCTTAAGCCACAGGTAAAACCATGATGTCATAATTCTGTTACAGGTAGGTGCTTGCTTAACTAAAAAAAAGCGCTCACATCAGGCTAGTTTTGAATGAACGACTCAATCAGGCAAAAGTCGTAAACAGCGGTGACATATCGTAGTGTTATTAACGTTGAAAAGAATCTTGGACGAAATGATAAGAATCAGTGAAAAGATTTGACCTGATAATTTCCACCAATAATTCAGAGTAAACTCAAAATGTTAAACTCCAGGCCAACTTTGTAAACCTCTGCCTCTTGGATGTAGCTGAAACGTAAAGAATATTATATAAAATTGAAGCTTTAAGTCTATCATAGTTAAATGCTCCTTTGTAATTGACTCTATGCTATTGACAGCTGCCATTCAGACATTATATTGAAAATGTATACACAGCAATTTCAAGGTAATGCTGGAAATATATCAATGTGTATCTATCTCTTGTGTTTTAGATTGTGTGCATGGTGGCATTATTTTAAGACTTTAACATGCAACACAACAATAGGAAGGACATTTAAGTAATCATGAGCCGTATAATCTAAAGGACATTGTTTTCTCAATCTCAATCCTTACCTTTTTTGTACAATTTAGAGCTGGATATTTTAAATTTTGAACACAAGTATATAAGCATTTCCCTCTACAGTGTATCAATGACAATTCTATAACTCGTTTTATAACTTCAGTATAAAATCTGGCTGCTGGGAAAAACAACCATCACTGTTCATTGATATTCACTGTTTGACAGATTTTTTACAAATTCCTTCCATGAATTCACCTCGGAGCAGAATCTGGCCCAGTTTGACCTCTGTCACTTTAACACTATGAGCTGCTGCCGAGACAAAAAGAGCCCTGTGAACAATTAAGTTGTTCAGATATGTATAGATATGCTCCCTGGTTTTGTTACGTTGACCAATAGTGTCACAGAACTCCCCAAAACTCACTTTTGACCTTTTAAATCTCTGAGTTTACATCATTACAACTAGTGGACTCTATAAATAAATCAGGGAATATATCTTAGAGAGGGCACAACAACCCTCCATCCCATGTTGAAGCTCCAAAGTTCAATGCACCTCCTCTCTCCTGCCTCTCAACTACGTCACTAGCACAGTAGCAAAGAGTAAACACTTGGGCTTTTTTTTTTATAAATGTTTAATGGCAATATCTCCTCTGTTTGAACTGGAGTTTTACTTCTGCAAACATTTCTCGGCTCAGAGCTGACATGAGTAAAATCAGAATCCTCAGGATATAATCAGGTTTTAATTCCAACATTTGAAAGTTGAATTTATCTGTTGGGGAACTGAAATTTGCTACAGGTCAATCTGCTACAAGTTATTTTTGTCATTTTAATTCTTAAAAGTGACAGATGCTGGCTAACAATGACGCCTGTTGGTTTTTTTTTCCAATAAAAAATATGATCTCATGAGACTATTGAGCTAATCTTAAAGATCAAGTTGCATTATTTTATTTTATATATTATATTATAGTATGAACCGCTGCTACTGAAAAATAAACTTAGAGCTCTGTTGTAATGGGGCAGTCACAAACACCAGTAGAGCATTGACTCGTACGGACACAGAACTTGATGCTGGGGAACATTGCAGTGGTAGAGAATCAACACCACGAGGGAAGGTCAAGAAGAATCTCAGGGTCTTGTTTATGATTGAGCCGTCCTGCCATGATGAAGACGGTGATTAGCCTGATGATGAAGGCCTCAGTTAATTGAAAAATCTGTGTTCCATGGCAAATAAGATGTTTTTCCTCAAATGAACCACGTCCTGAAAAGTACATTTTAAGATTAAAAGTACCACCTTGTTGAAGTACTAGGTGAATTATTTTTTGCAGTCACAACAGAGCCCTAAGTGTCATGAGTTAGCCCATTTTATGAGGCATGAATAGCATGGCACATTTTCAAACAATACGTCAATTATTTTGAAATATTTCTACAAGTACTACATTTGGGGTTCCAAAACAGATTTCATGGATGTAAGGTCAGAGGGTCATTTAATCATTTAGGTCCAGTCCATAATCAGGGATTATCAGGGATTATGGACTGGGGACGATGAGTAACCATTCTGTCCTTAGTGGCATATGATCCAGTAGTGGCTGATCTATGTTGTGCTGCCATACCTCATGGATAGCAGGCGGAAAAAAAGGCACTGTTATTTTTAACTTGTATTTAGATCTTAATTTAGTTAACCTTTTTGTCATAAATGTTTGCTGAGTAGATATTAATTCTACTTCGTGAACAGTTCTATTCCTGTGAAATGTTCGCAGATGTTAAACTTCAGTTGTCCTTCTGACAAACACTGGTTTTATAGATACAGATAACCTATCCAATAAACCAGATTGAAAAGGCCAAAAGCGGTGGGGAAGAATATTCGCGAGTACGAATCAATCTTGGAAACCCGTACGTGCATCCGGTTTTCACGCCAGGCGCCTGAGCGGCAGTCGTCGAAGCAGCAGAAGAAGCTGGTGCAGTCTTTTCCGTCCAAACACTCGTAAGCAAAGTCATCCTCCTCGTGATACGGCACGATGTTGTTCATCTGCAGCAGGGAAGTTCCCGGTCGGATATTCACCATGCTGGACGCTCTCTGCTGTGGAGGTGTTACACTTTCAGTGGGGTCAAAAGGGAATGATGAAAATAAAAGAAAGAAGAGAAGAGGTGAGGTACCTGTGTGTTATTGTTGGCTTTAGCCTTCTTGGTCTGTCTGTTGCTGGTGAAGTAGTGCAGAGTGCCATACTCCATGAGGGCAGCGAAGGTGAAGATGAAGCAAACAGAGACGAACAGGTCCATGGCAGTGACATAAGAAACCTTGGGCAGGGACTTTCTGGAGATGGTGCTTAGAGTCGTCATGGTGAGCACTGTGGTGATACCTAAATTGATTACATGGAATATTTGTACTTGTAATTTGTGTAATAAATCCAACCAATTGGATTTGGCTGCAACGCTGTTTACCCCTGAAACTGAAAACTCTGTTTTTTGGACTCAAACACTTCACCCACCCCAAAATGAATTTTTCAGTGAACTATCCCTTTAAATAACTGAAGGTGATTGGGTTCATGAACATTATGAAATTCTCCTTTTTATTGTGTGTGTCTAATTTCTGTTATTTTATTCATATGAAGTACTTGGTGTCCTTTACCTGAGATAGCTGCTACTTACTATATACAGGTACTTACTTACTCAGCTTCAAATAAAATCCACATTACATGGGCATTTGCAAAAGTTGGGTCTGCTATTTGTGAAACACTCAGACCTAATGAGTGCATTCGACCTAAGTGACAGACTTGAAGTCAGGTTTACTATTGTCATTAGGAATTGTCGGCCGACAAAGGTTCCAGAGCTGAGAAAAAAATGCTGAGGTCACAAAGGACCCATAGTATCCTCTAAACAACTGACAATCTGAGGCACATTAATGCCTATAAAGAAGGGTGAGCTATAAAACAGGTATCACCAAGCTATAATTCCCTATGGACCAATGAAGTTAAAATTGAGCTCTCTAGCTCCAATCACTAAAGGTTCATTAGGAGGAATGGGAGGAGAATCTAACTGTCGGGGTGGAAATTGTTTAAAGTTGTGTGTCAGCCAGCAAAACAGGAAACATTCATGGATAGAAAAAAAGAAGAATGAATTCAATAAAATCTCATATCCTGTCTTTCGGTTCTTTAATGAAAACTCAGCTTATTATTATTACTACTGTGATTTGAATACACATTCTCATTCAATAAATAAATCAATCTCAAATCAAAGATATCAAACCTAGAGATGTGCGGGCTGGGACGGCATCCTTATTGATCCAGAAGGAGACCCAGGACAGGACTACGATCATGCTGCAGGGGATGTAGGTCTGGATGGTGAAGTAGCCCATTCTTCGACTCAGGTCAAAGAAGATGGTCATGATTACATATTCCCCTGAAAGTTGTAACAGTAAGGTAAATCTATAAGAATGACCAAATACCAGGTATAAAAGGATTTTATGTCACCCATTGCGAGTATCTATTCTCAAATTCTTTTCTCGCAATATGTTAAACACTTTACAGATGAGGCTGCACACAGTCATAGGCGTGGTTTGCCCCATGGTCACACATATTCAATGCGTGAACAGAGTTGATTCACCGTCAAGGACAAAATGACCCCTCACTGAATCAATTCTGACCTGATCTGTTGATTGATTGAATTTATTTAATGATTAAAACACATAGAACTTTGCTAGTACAACACATTACACAACGAAGCCTAAAGTCTTATTTCTGTTGAGGTCATCTAGAATAACTCTTAGCAAAGTATAACATAACACACAAAACAAGTGTGCAAGTGAAGACAATACATCCAGTATACCAATAGTAACATTTTCCTGGTCATTCTGGAAAATTTAAAATTGAATATTATAATTTGTGACTATTCCGTTAAAGGTTCAGTGTGTACGATTTAGGTGAAAGGGAACTATTGGCAGATATTTAATGTAGAATAATCCTCATGATGTTTTCACTAGTTCATTTCATCTAAATTGTATGAATTGTAGTTTTCTTTACCCCAGAAAAGACCCTTTATATTTAAATACTTTATATCTACATCGAGGGGGTCCTCTCTACAGAGGCCGCCATGTTTTTTACACTAGTCCAGACTGGACAAACTAAGCACCTTTTGAGTTTTTATGACAATTAAAGCTACCACAGGTTCTTTTTCATGTTTGGAAGGAGAGGGTGAGGTGAGGGGTGTTCAGCTGCAACATGCAATTTCAATACTAGATATCACAATTTTTACACACTGCACCTTTAAGGTTACTTTAAATGTGAAACGCTCAATTTCCAATTAGTGGGCAGATGATTTCACTGTTCTCTTGCACTTTAGCCTTTTGAATTGAAAAGGTATAAAAGCAGGGAGAATAAATGAATATTTATCAGGTGATCTGATCACAAGTACAGAGCTATAAGTTAAGGTGAGAGCACAACATACAATCGCTCAGATCACATTGGGAAGTGGCCATATTATTTTATCAGCATGAAATGACGTGTATATTTGCATATAGAGTGGGGGGGGGGGCACATGCATTTTAATGTCAGATGTGAAAAGATGAACTTGCATTACCAGTTCATAATACCAAGTCTGATCAGGGCCAACATGTGTTAGTGGATGGAATTTTAATAGAACCCTTTTAAGTCTATTTTGAGCCTTTTTGTCATTTCTTGTTAAGGTGTTGTGATGATGTGGTGTAGCAGGAGATGACTACATAATTAAAATAACTCTGATCCAATTTCCAGGAAGGCTGCTTTTCTGGCCAGAAACGCAATTCTGGGATTTAGAGTTAGGGTTTTTAAGCAATATTCATTACATATAAATTGCTTTGTCCATAACCAGTTGGACCTTTCAATTTTTTACTGTAAAAGCTATCTGAAATTTTTGTTTAAGAAGCAAAAAGATTGGCTTTCATTTTTTCCCAGATAGTAAATATCTAACAGCAATCTACTCACATTTTAAAGGTCCTAACTGTCTTCTGAGCCACTGCTGTGTGGTCATTTATTGAAAAAAATAAAATAAAGGGCCCCACAGAATACCCTGTGGCATCCCACAACACATGACCTTTGACTCTGGACCATTTACATAAGAAAGTGCTGAAATTAAAAGCTAGTTTGTCAGATGTATCTGCAGGACTTTGGTTTGTTATAGAATAAAACATTAGAAGCTGTGAAAAGTGCTGAATTCTTGCTTATTCTACAATAAGGGTCGACGTAGAAGCTATAAGACTATTTCCTTTTATTTCACATGAAACAGAGAACAGTTACTCTTGTCATTATCACCTGTGGAGGTGAAGGGGCTGGGAGAGCACCTGCACCTGCACCACAGAGGATCAGTCAGCACAGGTGAGAMCTGTTAGCTGATTGATCCTCAGACTTGAAAAGGCAGCAGCAGAGCTGCCTCGAGGAACACACACTGGGGAAGAGACTGGGTGCAGAAAGTGCTGGACCCGTTAAGTTCCATGTTTTGTAAGTTCTGTTGGATGCAAATACAAAGATGTTGACGAACACACAATGGGTGAACTGGTTCGTCTCTGGCTGTCGTGGTGGGAACCCCGTGGCATGGCCTACTGCCACATCACCCTATTTTAGAGATAATTGGATTTTTTTTATTTTTTAAGTGTAGCAATACATATGACATTAGTTGATACTGAACTATAACAGTTCTCACCTGATTGGGTGTGTGCCACATCAGAGCTGTTCCTCAGCCCAACAAAGGCAAACTGATAGAGTCTCCAGTACCGCTGGTCTGCCACCTCTACCGCTCGTCTCTGCCACCGGTACATGATCTCATTCTTAGGATAACCATCTGCGGAACCCCCGCACCCCCAACACAGTCACATAATAGTTTAAGTGGAAGCCTTAATAATGCCTATGATATATAACAGGAAGCTCACATCTGTCATTCCGAGCACTGCACATCACAGGGGAACACTGCACCATGGCAAAGCAAAGGGAGCATTCAAGATGGAACTGACCTTCCCAGTCTCATGAAACTTCCTCAAATGAGCAAGATGTCTTCAAATGCAAATAACCGTCCGTGTACTACAACATGTGGTTTGTTAAAGTGAGCTTTGACAGGCACTCCTAAAATAGCGTGTAGTAGGTTAGTTCAGGGAACAATTGCTCTGCCTGAAAAAGAATATTCCTATTATTTATTGATTAATTCATTATTTTTTGTTATACTATTAAATACATTTTCACATGTGTAGCGATGTTTGCTTGTTGAGGCTTCAGTGTTTGACATTGTATTGTCTAATATCGATAATTTTATATTTGCAGGGTTTGAAAATCTAAATCTAAATTGAGAATGAAACAATGTTTTAGTCCTTAAACCTGAACTATATTATGTCAGTGCCTTCCAACATTACTTGGATGACTGTAGTCAAGTGACATGTCTATGGTTATGGCAAATTAAACCCATCTGTCCAGGAAATATCACACATATGGCTTAAATTGGTAAACAAATCCAATATTAACTATTAGAGGAACACGACATATGGTCCAGTGTCTCTTGTAGTGAAGTCACATTCTTTGACTTTTGATTAGTCTGCTCCTACTCAGAGAGTGTTATTTGTAAAAGTGCAAGAGGATGATCAGGCCTACTTGTAAACAGAATTTATCTTCTTTTAATATTTTAGTTTTTCAAATGAGATCTCTTGTTTTTGTCATAGGCCCTGTTCATACCTGACATTTCAGATCTGATAGTTTAGACCACACTCAGAAGTGGTCTAAACATGTGGCAACATTCTTTTATCATTGTGTCATAAATGTCTCTCGGGTACTGATTCTTCTGCATGAAATCACATAAACTGGCTCTGTTCACAACACTTTTATATTACCTTTTATATATACTTGTATATGTTATTATTAATAATATAGTTATTATAAGTGTGCAAAGTATCTTGAGTAATTTGATTAACTTGGAAAACACCAAGGAATAAAATCCAGTGAAAGTTCTACTTTTCATTTTTATTCTCGGCAGATGATGCCTGGAAAGGGAATGGCTCCCTGCCACTGGTTAAAAACAAGACGGCATCCGTTCTTTGACACTGGAAATTATGTACATGTTTAGGTGTATAACGAGTGGTGAAGTGAGGTCTGATCACAAGTGGTCACTCATAATGAACTCCACTTGTGAACAGATCACCCTAGACGCACATTAATGGAAGGTATGAACAAGGCCATAGTTACAGTTTATGAAATTACCACTTGTGCTCATTTGATGACATTTAGTGTGACTGTACTGGTCCTGACATTTGTCCTCTCCAATGGAATGGTCTTTGCATTTTTCACTGGTGTGAGAGGCTAAAGCACAATGCAAGAGACAAATGAAGGATGGCACAGACAGCATGAATCAGACTGGGAGAGGGTGCATAATGCATTAAGTCTGTCAGAGAAAATGGGACTGGGTGACCTCCTCTCTCTGCTCATGGAGCTGATGATTGATTGGTACAGGCTTAGAGAGGGCAGCCTCAAGCAGATGGGTCGTTTTGCAAAGAGAAGAAACCAGGGCTTAGGCTCTATGCTAGCCCACACAGAAGCCCCTCTCTCTGGGCAAGTTGAAGTCGAGATGACTGGTTCGAAAATGGAAGGGGAAAATGTTTGACCACCTACAGCTTGAAAACTCCAGGGGGCATGAGTGCTCATCCATTGGAAAGTTATGCAGCTTAAGGTAACACTCCGCATTAATAGTCAACCTGACAAAAACAGAATTGTGACAGAGAAAAAGCAAGTCTCAGCATTGTTTGTTTCCCTCCCAAGTGTGACTGCACATAAGGAACTTTGTTCATTCTGTAATCTTTCCAACAAATGTAGAAAAAAATATGACAATCAGATTTTGCAACGTGTAAACTGCTGTAACCTAAAAGAGAACTACATGACAAACACAGATGCACACACTAAAGCTGCACAGACGACAAAAATCTTTCAAGAGTTGATGCATCAATATTAAATACATGAGCAAACTGGCTGCAGAAGTGTCCTACCTTAGTGTGTACATGACCCTCCCATTGCTCCACAGCCTCAAGAGGCGGTTAGGAGTGGTGATCCAGTGGGCGTCTGATTTGCGTGAATTCCGGAAGAATGTGTCAGGAATCCAGATTTTGCCTACCATGTTACTGTTCAGCATGAGCAGCTTCATCGAGCTGTTGAACTTCAGTCGGCTGTCGTACCATGTCTGGGCAAAGAAGATGTCAATGGTGTATTCCTGCAACAGAGTTAAGTAATCCATGCAGTTACAGCCAGTTAAAAATATTTCATTATAATAAATGTTTAATAACTTTATCGTAGAAGATGATATCTAAATTGTTACTTAAAAAATCCCCACAGCCAAAAGAGACGCTCGAGCAAACTAACGGATGGATTACCATCAAATCATCCCCTGACGATCAATTCTAATCTCTTTTCTACAAACATTTGTGATGCCCATACAGACAGTGAAATCTAATGTCTTTGGTCAGCCCTTTATTGAATGCTTTACTTTAGTGCCACTAGGTTTTTTGGAGTTTAATATTTATGACACATTTTAAAAGGCCATAAAATGTATTGCTCATTTTTAACTTGTATACCCAAAAGAGGTGGAAGGGTTAGTGTGTCAATAATGGCGAATGCAACCAGGTGCAGTTGGAATTCGATTTAGCCAAATATTATATTTGAGAACCATGCTTCTAAAACTTCTTAAAGGTCCAGTGTGTAAGATTAGGGTGAAAGGGAACTATTGGCAGAAATGTAATGTAGAATAATCCTCATGATGTTTTCACTAGTTCTTTTCATCTAAATTGTATGAATTGTAGTTTTCTTCAGCCCAGAAAAGACCCTTTATATTTGAATACTTTATATTTACATCTAGTGTTTATGTGTTTTTTACATTAGTCCAGAATGGACAAACCTTTTGAGTTTTTATGACAACTGAAGGCTACCACAGGTTCTCTTTCAGGGGAGGGTGAGGTGAGGGGTGTTTCAGCTGCAACATGCAATTTCAACACTCGATGTCACTAAATTCTACACACTGTACCTTTAATGTGCCCCATTCTTGTTAATTGGCATCAACTGTAAATAAGTGCCACCAGCTGTCAAACTCGACAGACCAGCTCCTCATATTCATATAATGTAAATGGTCTGTATTTATAGAGCAATAACATTTTTCCTCAGTGGCTCAAGGTTTAGAATCACATGGAATTCTACAGAGTTGTGTCATGTGTTAAAGGATCATTAAATGAACTTTCATACTTGAGTACTGGATGTATTACCATTGGACATTCACGGTCCCCAGAGAATGAATCCTAATGACTAAATGTATTTAACAGGATTTATGTCAGCAGAGAAGGAAGTCAGTGGAGTCTCACCATGTTGATGGGGTCCACTGGTCCGATGCTGTTCACATACACAGCTGTTTCAATCACTGTCGGCCTCACTGTAATATATCAGAAGACTAAATCAGCTGACACAGAACATATTTGTGATGTTTGTCTTATTGACATATATCACAAAGTCAATGATAACAAAGAACAGCATATTACATGAAGGGATTTTATGTCACGTCAAACTTTATGTGTATAGCCCAGAATCACAAAACACACACTTTCCTCAAGGCCAATAGATTCCTGTTATATTATTTTAAAATCATTAATGAGGAATTTAACTACGTAGTGAAGCCCGGAGAACAGACCAGTCACTGGGCTCCTCGTTATTTGTTTTTCCATCCATCCTGAAAGGGCTCGTGCTATCACAACTACTTATGAAAAATGGGCTGGGTTTGATACAGTGACTGACAGATGAGGACCCAATGGGAGTGTCGTTAAGCATTTTCTTTAACAACCAGGGTTGGCTGCCACTGATGTGGAGAGGTCTGTTGATTCCACCATAGAGACAGTATTTTGATTGGTCGTGGGTCTGTTCTGCGACTGCTGATAACACCCCTTATACACTGAAAATGGAGTGAAGCTTCCCCATTTGTAAATGCCAACAGGTCTAGTGATGCCAGGCTTCGAATAAAGTATATTGTGATGAAAACCTTGAATCTTAGCACATTTTTCACATTCTTGGGTCCTTGAAGCAAGCTATGTTGCTAAGAAATAAAGAATGAAATGGACTTACCTCCGATGTCAGGCCGCAGTTTGTTGTCGTAGCCCAGCAGCAGTTTATTTAAGATCAAAGTCACATCGCTCTCATAGACCTTTGGTGATAACACCCAGGTCTTATTTATGGGCACGTCTTCATAGTCTTCCTCATCCTGTTTACTGGGCCCAAACGCTGCACTGTAAAGTAGAAAAAAAAAAGCTGATGTTGCTGCATGTATGAAATGGTTTAGTAGTCAGATTAGAGTAATTTGTTAGTTTTTGACATGACACAGTAGTTCCTGTATATATTTTGTCAATCCATGAGACTCAGTATTTTATCTAATTTTGGGGCTTTTTCCAAGAAGCAGGTTTCACAAACTCTGAAGTCTGAGTTTATGAACCCCAAAATTGGAAACTTGACCAGAGTTAAATCTATCAAGTCATTTAAATTCACTGAAGCCAGAAGGATTAACATATGGCACTGTACATCAGCTTACAGCAGCAGTGAAAGAGCCTTCGAGTTGGAGGGAAAAGTCAATAAGCTAATGACACGTAAACCACATCATTTAGCCGACTTTCTTTAATATGTGCTCAAGTGCTGAAATCCT